TTTTTTTTTTTTCTTTCGTTTTTCGATTCCTTTTTTTTTTTTTTTTTGCTTTTTTTTTCACTTGGGCCGACATTCCCAACACTTCGTGTTGCAAACGAGCGTGCCTACAAACGAGGACCATTTGATTCGCAAATTCTTCATTCTACGATTGTTACTTGAGAGAAGGGCTGTACTGCAAAGGGTAGCGGAGAAGTGAAAGTGACGTAGAGAGAGAGAGAGAGAGAAAAAAAGAGACGAACTGAATGTGATTCAGAGTGTTAATCGTGACATACACCCCATTCTCTATGCAGGAAAGAATCGATCGATTTGATTTGCGAATCAGGTGTGGAAGCCCTCTTCTCAGCGGGCCATTCAGCGCAACGACTAGACTGAAACGTTTAGTGTTAACACTAAATCTGTGTGTGCGGAATAGATGGGAGAAGGCAACGATCGCGGCTCGTCTAAGCTGTCCCCTTTTTCGTTTCTTTTCCCCTCCCATCATTTGTTCGATCGGGGATGCCAAACGGAGGGGGATGCTAAACAGAGACTGAAGAACCTGGCTGCAGCAAGATGAGGAGAGAAAAAACAACAAATCGTAATACGTACATTAGTGTGTATGTATATATATAATATGAACGCGATTCGAGAACACTCTATGTATATTCTTTGCCGTGCTTGTTCATCGAAGGAATTTGAAGACTTTACTACGAGGGTGTTGAAATGTTAAGACGATAAAAAAAAAAAAAAAAAAAGAAGAAAAAAAAAAATCAAAAAAAACGAATAAAATGGAAAACAAGTAGAGCGATGGCCGAAGAAACTTTGCGAACGGTGACAAATAAGGAGAAAAAAAAAAAAAGAGAAAAAAATGAAAAGGCTCGACCAAAGCGAAAAATCTCTGCCCAGCTACGCTACTATAGTTCCGTTCCTTTGATTACCCCCGAGAGCGAAAGATGTATGCATATTATATGTACACACACACAGAAACACACATGTACACTCGTATCTAGGGAAAGATTATCGAGATATATGTATATATACATATACATATATATATGTATATATATATATATATGTATATATACGAATATAGACAAATGCAGCAAAAAAAAAAAAAAAAAAGAAAAAAAAAAAAATTAAACATCAAAATCCAAAGAACTGGTATCGGTGTTAGCAAAAAACGTTAGGTTCAGAAGCGGTTAACCTACCAGACAGAGTATTATATACGTGTGAGAATGAAGAAAAAAAAAAAAAAAAAAAAAAAAAAACGGGAGATACTTGAAGAAACAAACGAAACAGAAGGTGTGAAAGACGAAAAGAGACCACTATGTAATTAATCGTTGAAAGTAACGGTAACGACAATCGCCGCGAGCGAAAGTAATGGTACCACAGGATCACCATAAAGAAGCGTGCAAAATGTACTTGTAACGGAAAGAAAAAAATTAAAAATTCAATACACTTGGAAGGGAAATTAAAAAAAAAAGAAAAAAAAAAACTGCAGCTGGAATCGAACAAGATTCTCCTCTCTTCGCAAAGCGATCATCGATCGAATTTCTCACGCGTGTCAGGCAAATCAGTAATAATCGAATTGCAAACTGCAACAGAGAGAGAGAGAGAGAGAGAGAGAGAGAGAGAGAGAGAGAGAGAGTAAAATAAAAAGAAAAAAAAAAGACAACGTGGAAAGAGAAAAAGAAAAAAAAAAGAAAAAGGTGTCGTTAATGAAGAAGAACCTTCGCGCCACAAACAAGATATATAAAATGACAACCAGCGAATATATATAATATATATATCGTAATAATCAGAAGAATAATAACTATGTAATAACTTTTGCAACTGCGTAAGAGATATAATTTGCTACAAACACAGAGTCTGGTCATGCAAATAATGGCCCGGGAGAAGGGGGGTTGGTTCGTTCTGCTTGGGTGATCGATCAGATTTTTCGCGGTTTCTCGACGTTTCTCCCTTTTATTTCTTTTCTCTTTTCTTTTTTTTCTCTCGTGAAGATCGTGTCCCCCCCCCTTTTTTCTTTTTCTTTCTTTTTGCGTGTTTATCCCCCCTCCCCCCTCCTGATCGAACAGGCAGCCATCTAGCAGAGAATATGTTTTTTTCTTTCTTTCTTTTCTCTTCAATGAAAAAACGAACGTGGAGAAAAGGGAAGGATCCAACGCTATCGAGGGAAAGATCGTTAAAGCGATGTACGAAGTCTGCCCGTGCTTCCGAAACGACGATCCGAGAGAAGGACGCCCGAGACGTGTTTCGAAAAAATAAGAAAAAAAAAAAAAAAAAAAAAAAAAAAGAAGAAGATCGGACGTCAACGACGGTAGCGAGAAATTGCGAGTCAAATTACGATTGCGAACGTGGGAATGAATTTTGGCCCCGGTCCGAGCGATCGATCGGTTCGTCCGAAAGGAGAGGGGGAGGAGGAGGAGGAGGAGGAGGAGGATCGCGCGGATGGACAAAACGGGAGTCCCTCCTCATCACCCAAGCAATTCGTGTGCTGCCAAAAGCCGACTTGAGAGGACCGCCGAAAGGGTTTTTTTGGTTCGCGTGCGTGAATTACAAGACTTATTATGAACACACATATCCACTCGCTACTAAAGCTACGAGAAATAAAAAAGATATATAAGAGAATAGATAGAGAACAGACAGACGAAAAGGGGTGGGTGGGTGGATGGTTGGGTGGTTGGGGAGGAGAAAAGGTGGTGAGATATCCATCGGAGATGAAACGATTATCATCCACGCCAGCGAACCAAACCGCCCATTGGTGGCTGGACAAAAGTCAGCGGTTATTGGCATTCGTAATATAAAAAATGTGGAGATGGGATATCGTAAAAGCTGTCAAATTAATAATATTCTACTGCAAATAAGTTCAACACTAGGTTCAACTGCGACGCCGCAACCATAACAAACAGCTGAGCTGATTTACGCTCACGAGTACAAAAAAAAAAAAATAGAGAAAAAAAAAAGAAATAGATTGAAACATGGAGAATAGAACGTGTATGATTATCGAACATTGAATAGAGAAGGGATACTTGAACAGAGAAAAAAAAAAAGAGGTCCCTGGTCGAAGAGAGAGATCACGAAAGGTGAACGGGTACCAAAATGGCCGACGATCGAGCTGCGTGGCTCTCTTTCTTTTTTATTTTTTTTTTTCCTCTCTCTTTTCTTACAACCGCGACAGAAAGCTTTGTCAACGTGTTCCCTCGCGTTTTGCTCGTTGTTAAACAATTGAAAAAAAACAGAAAAAAAGAAAAAGAAAAGAAGATACGCCACAGCGAGAAACCCGCGGCCACGCTTTTTTTTTTTTTGGTTCTTTGCCCCGTGATTCTCATTCTGTTTTTGTCTTTTTTTCTTTTTCCTTTTTCCTTTTAACCTCTCGTTCCCCCGGTTACGTAATGCGTCAGAAGCTCTCTCTATGCAAGCGACAGGATTGTCCCGTGTTTTCGATTGGCGACAGCGGTAAATTAGAATGGTCTGGAGAGTGTCCAGATAGAGAGAATGAGATAGATAGATAGACAGATAGATCGAGAGCGAGGGGGAGAAAAAAGTGTTGCACGTCACGTTGGAGAATCGTTTCGAAAATTGACAAAAACTGTTGCTACTGTACGATGGCACTTTTTTTTTTCCTCTCCTTTCTTCTTTTCTCTTTTTTTTCATCTGCTCTTGTTAAAACACGCGTGTTCCGCGCGCGGTTCAATTTAGAGGATCACGCCATTGTCGTTTTATTTCTTTTTCTTTTTTTTTTTT